TTATTGGGGCTTTTAACGAGCTGGCAAGGGAAGGTGAGGGCTGCCAAAAGCTTTCAGTCCTGGCTGTTTCTGTGTGAGAGCCCTAGCTGGTGAGTCAGTTTTGAAGCTGACCTCTGGCTACGTTTGTCATGATGTGGAACAGGATTAACTGCTAGAGCAATCACAGAGCCCTGGTGTTGGTAGGGCTGCAAATGAGCTATCAAGGGAAGCTGAGAATGGCCAAAAGATTTCATTCTCTGCTGCTGCTCTAGCCTGTCCTACCCAACTCTACACCAAGCCCATGTCCAAAACAGAACCTTGCCAGCAATGACTCCCAAATAAAAGTCCCCAGGAATTAAAGCATTTGGTAACCTCTTCAAATCATCTCAGATATTGGGGCTTTATTATTTGTCCCCTCAGATGAGACTTCTGAGCACCTAGTCCAGTTGCATCTTGAAAACATTTGGTGATGTCAACTCTACTACATCCCCGGGGTGATTGTTCTGGTGAACAACTGTTCTCACTGTAAAAAAACAAATTCTTTTTATATTGAGATGAAATCTCTCCTGGTGCAAGTTGTACCCATTACTCCTTGTCTTCTCCTTGTGGATCATTGTGAACAGGGAACCTCTTTCGTCCTTGTAGTTGCCTTTTGAGTGCTGAAATTCTGTGATGAGATGAGGCCCCCCTGAATCTTCTTTGGGAAGATAAGACCTAATCCATTCAGTCTTTCCTCTTCAGACAAGTTTTCTAGGACTGTCTCCAGTCTATCTGCATTTTTCTTGAACTGTGGGGACCAGAACTGGACACAGTACCTCAATAGTAAATAATGCTGTTACCAACTTGAGAAAATACAAAAGTTACTTTGCACTTGTAACCTTCCTTAGAGTCATAATCATCTCTGAGTGTCACATGTTGTCTGCCACTCCTTCCTTTTCACACTCTTAAACAGTGCCACTTTGTCTCAGACGAACAACCAGCCCCATAGACCGGCTTGCAGGAGACCCCACATAGTGCCCACGTAGCTCCAAGGTGATTAATGAATGCCGTGGCTTGAGTTACAGTGGTGGTCCTGCTCTCTCAGGGTAGAGTTCTCCTGTTTCTCTTTCCAATGCTTCCAGCTGTGGGGCTGGTGATGCCAATGGCTCTGCCTCTCCAGTGTCATCTGCATGCCTGTGTACAGGATCTGGTGGTCTGCAAAAAAGTGGCATTTACTTCACCCGTGATATGGTGGAGATGGTTGATGCAGAAGGCACGGTTAAATCAGTGCATCCATCCCAGGAGGAAACCTCAACTTCTCTTAATTTTATTTTCACTGAATCCCTGAATGCTACAGACCATTTTTAAGGCCATTTTACTCAAGCTTTGCAACAACAGAGCAACAGCAAGTGCTTCTAAGAAGCGTCCTGAAATTATGGAACCTTTTCTCAAATTTAAGCTTTGGCTGGATAATTCAGACTTCCTCATGAAGCTGCAGCAGAAAGTAATTATTTTTAAAATCTTTTTATGGCACAATGCAACAAGAAAAGGTCAAATCAGTCCCATGATAATGAACTCAAGAACTAAAAAAAGAAAATCACAGCCCCCCCATCAGCAGCCCTCACGTCACTCTTCTGACCTCTCCAAGCCAGGAGTGGGGCCCCTGGTGGTCTAGTGGTTAGGGTGCAGGACTCTCACCGCTGCGACCCGGGTTCGATTCCCAGCCCCCCGGGCAGATGGAGCTCGT